AAATGGATTGAGTTTCCATTTTTTTAATAGTTACAGACTTAGATGTATAGCTATCTGGATTACAAGTGAAATGGAGAACACTCTTTTCAGGACTTTTTTTTTCATATGAATATAAAACAGGAGTTGGAAGGTAAAATAAAGGAGTCCTTGTGGATTTTACTCCACTAGTCATTGCTGACTATAGCTGACATTAGTCCTCTCCATTTCAAGGCCACTGAGTCAGTCTGAAGAAATTTCCAGAGTCATTTGGCCTGCATGACATTACAGAGTGCTGTTAACTTGCCGCTGAAGTGGTACCTATTTATCTACTCACATTTGCATGCTTTCCAACTCCTAGGTTGGCAGGAGCTGGGGCAAGGATGGGAGCTTACTCTGTCACTTGGCACTTGGGTCTCAAATCTGGACTGTCGCTTTCTAGCCAACAGTTGGAAGACTTGTGTGTAATCCAGAAGGATAAGCTTTTCTACTAATCTGCAAAACTTTTGGAAAAGTCACACTCCAGTTTATAATAGAAATTCTTGAGACAGTGACATGGGTTTATATGCACAATCCTTCTCGAAAATTGGCCTGCCAACAATTTAGTTCATAATAAATATTTCTGATACCCTTGTCATATTAGATGAAGAGAACTGAATGTGTGGCATTATTGTATTAATAGTATTATTTCTTTCATGCAAAGAATTTAGAAATTTTAGAGCTTGGATGAATTTATGAAGCAGCTGCTTCTAAAATGCAATCTGTTCCTGTGCATAGTAACTACAGCGTAGTTCCATGAAACATATCTATCTTCATTTTTTTTCTACCAACAAAAGCTATGGAATAAAGGATGCCAACTGTAATGACTAAATCTGATCATTCAAAAGTGAATTACTAAGTATAATGAGAAGACATAGATTTAATTTGCTTTTAACCATAAAACAAGACTGGACATCATCCAGAATTCAGATTTATTAATATTCAAAAATGCTGTCAGAGCTCATGTGTACATGGGATGTTAGTCATGCATTTTGTTAATCTAACATAATATCCAACATAATTTATCAGGACATCAAAATAATAGCTTTTACTCCATTTCCCCATCTCAATGAGGACATGCACAATAGATTCAGAAGCTATACATGCACTCTATTAGAGCTAATTGAAAATAGATGATACAATTAACCTGCTTCTTTGAAAAAAGCATTAACACTTAATGTAAAATTCTAATCACAATAAAAGAGGTTAACATTGGAAGGAAATGTGGTGTATAATTCAAAATTATGTTCTTTACTTTCTTAGAAACATTTTTTAAAGTGGCAAGTATGCTCTGTGCTTATAAAATACAGAAAACCATCTTACTATTCCTTCCATTTGTTCCCCCCTCCCCAAACCAGGAATATGACATTTTAGTCCTTTCCAAGATATTTAAGGGCACAAACTCATGGCATTTAGACAAACAGAGCAGAAATGAACAGGTGTTTATGGTATAAATGATTTATACAATCTATTTACAATTCATACTGGAATGTTATGAAAATTGGAGATGAAGGCTATATAGGGATGCATACCAATAACACCCTCAAATGATAAATGAAATCTGTTACAAACCTACCTCTTGATTATGATTGCCTTTTAATCTTGTCACCTGCCAAGAAAAGACCAATTTGTAATTATCTGTAGAGTCAAGGTATATCAATTTGCCACCCCTATAGACTGAACAGTTATGTTTACTGGATCCTACCCCTCCCCCTCCCCCCCCCAAAAAAAAAAGGCTGGAAATAAGTTTTTTAGAGCAGATTGGTTTGATTTTCAGATAGCAGATTAAAGCTGCATTTAATTTTCATCCATGAACACTTATGCTTCTGGGAAGTGACTTAAATCTATATATTCTACATTTTATGCTTATCTGTTTTATGCTATGCTATTTTATGTCACTGTTCCCAATTATTTCAATCTTGTTTCCTTTCCTCCTCTTTTTTTTCTGCTACTCCTTTGCCAGTTTTCTCTTTTTTATTCTCTATTAAATGATCCCATCAAGGCAGGGATTGCCTTGTAGATATGATGATGTCATGATATCATGTAAGCATCCAGGTTGGGTTCCTGATGAGATTGTTAATGGCAAACAGAAATGAGTCTGAATGAGTTGCAATTATCACACGCTTTTCATTGACAGGAATGTATACCAGAATGCAGCACTGCAAATCAGGAAGTGAGGCCTTAGTTATATTGGAAACGGAAGCACATTGTGCCTTTCTTTCCAACAACCCTACCTGCATAATGCATAAATATTCTCATCTTATTTTACAACTGCACATTATACTTTTATTGCTATTTTTAAAAGATAAAAAGGCTTCATTGTTTTGGATCAGCACTACCAATGTTTGTTACATAGTGATGGATAATGAAATAATCAAGTAGTCTCAGATATAACTAAACTACCCAGTACTTCATAACTTCATGGGTGTGAGGAAAAACTCAGTCTCTTAATAAATAGGGTTCTTTTTCTCTCTCAGTTCCAGTGGTGGGATTCATCTGGTTCGCACTGGCTCAAGTGAACTGGTTTTTAAATTATTATCTCTCTGTCTCTGTCTCTGTCTCTGTCTCTGTCTCTGTCTCTGTCTCTGTCTCTCTCTCTGTCTCTNTCTCTCTCTGTGTCCCTCTCTCCATCCATCATCTCTATCTAGCATTTTCCTGCAAAGAGAAGATCTCTGCAATGCAGAGATTACATCTTCCATTCTCTTGCTTCTGAATAAATGACTGATGTGAGCAACATCAACTGTTAATTCAAGTGGAGATTATCACATTCTGCACCTGTTCTGTTTGTAAACATAGGTTGTCAACTATCTGAAAAATATGTCCATATGCCACCTTTGGGTTTTTTATGTATAGTATACCATGGCTGATCCTTATGCAGAACAATAAAATGTTGTTATTCATTAGATTGCACCCTATCCCATAGATATTAAGTGCACCCATTTTTCAGATTCACCATACATCAACATTGATGGAATTGGGAGGAAGGAGTTTCAAATCTCATCTTCAAATCTCATCTTAAGATGTACTGTTAAGTGTTATCATCACCCAGTGGCTGTAGTTATTTGAAGGAGTTTTGTTGTGAAGAAAAAAAATGAAGGTGGGACCTATGAGTACTTGCTGAGCTCATTAAAGGAAGGATGGGATAAAATTAAACAAATGCATATTAATAGAAAATATCAATATAAAAAGATATCCACCAAGGCAAACTTCTTCCATATGCTAACAATAGATATAAAGAGGATTATTCTTGCTAATTTTCCAGTTACCTCTGAGAACTCCTGCACAGAAATTAAATGCAATTAACAGCAGGTTATTCCTGCACACCTCCTTTGAGAAATGTGATAATAAGATATGCTACAAATTTAGCTTTAGAAGAACATAAAAGAAAACACAAGAAGCAAGGTTTCTCATTCACAGGTCAACAAGAGGCAATGACTATAAAGTTATTATAATATCCTGTTCTGCTACCACCGTATCTCTATTGTATGAGACATAATAGCTACTAGCACAGAGTGCAAGGTTTAAAAACTGTGGAGTCCTTGGTACTCTGTGAGCTTGGCTGCTTGCTTATAGATATTTCATTATCCAAGTAGATAACATTAGCAGTGCAAATAAGGGTGGGGTTTGCTCCAGGAGTGAAATCAACTTACCTTTGCTACCAGTTCACAAATATGATTGCACATGCCACCTCCATGCATGTGCAGGACTTTTCGTGCATGTGTAGAGCATCAAAAATGAGGCACGATGACATCTGGGTAGGTGGGCGGAGCCTCTCGCCACCGCCACTACAGGTTCACCCAAACAGGATAGAACTGGTCGAATTTCACCCATGGTTTGCTCCCTGTTTATATCCAATAGCTTGTCCTGTCTATATTGTTTAGGATATGGTTTAAAAAAAAGAGAGATTTTAAAAATATGCTCAAAAGAGAAAAGGTTTGGCATCAACAATGGTGCTGGAACTTGCAGAGATGACAAAATTAACTTCTTTAATTTGAGAAAATATAATATCTACATTTATGGCTGACTGGAAACTTCTCACAGACTTTGCACGAAGCATTAAAAATGCAATAATGATAAGTGGTTTCAACATAAAAATTCAATAATAGAAAAAAACGATCTCTCTCTTTTTTGTAGACACAGAATAAGAGATAACTTTGTAATCAGATTTGCATTTGCTGCAAAGTAAATTTGTGGCTTCTATTTGTTTTCATCCTTTCTTTTCATGTGCCCGCCCCTCTCTCTCTCTCGTCAATTAGAATAGAATAATTGAAAATGTTATAATAAATATCTGATGGAAGTTGTTTTGAATTTGATTATCCAAAGAATCTCCATTTTCCATCCACTACTGTCTTTATTGGGTCTACCTGCCTACCATCTTCCATCTTTTATTGGCCCCTCCATTCTCCCCCTCCCCCGTTTGAAAGCATGCAAATTTGATTGCATAAATATGTACTACTAAGGTGGAATGATAACAGCATTCCATATAGCCTTTGGCATATAGCCATGCTGACCACTTGACCATGAAAAATGTCTTTAGACAACATTGGCTCCCTTGGCGAAGAAAAAGAGATGAGCACCATCTCCTAGAGTCAGATATGACTGGACAGGGAAACCTTTACCATCTTTTGAAATTAGGAGGAGCATATCATTTGGCTGAGAAGAAAGCCTTTTCTCATTTAAAGTTATTAAAAGATACTCTGCCAGGTCTAAGAAGAAGCTTTATTGGGCCATGAGCATCATCCAAGGAGAAGTGGAGATGGATCATCTGGACAATTACAAGCCAGAAGAAGGATCCTTGGGGCCGCCCTGAGAAATAAAATGTGAGTGAGTCCCAATGGTGATAATACTGGCAGAGAGATAAGCAAATAATAGGTGGAACTGAAGTTACAAATGTTGCAGAATATCTCAGGTGCTGGCTTTTCAACAAGGGTTTGAAATCCAAGCAGAAGAATAAGTTTTTATTATCATTGTTTTGTTTCTTTTAGCCCTATATACCTGCTTTGGCCTTGGAAGAAAATAAAGAGCTCTGGATAAAGTCTGATATAGTAGAAAGGGAAGGTGGGAATGTTTTCAGGATAATAACTATCCTCCTTCAGCAGCTTCATTCACTCAATCTCAATTGAATCAGCACTCCTGGTAGACCTACAAGCAACCTCATCCTTTGCCAAAACTTAGCCTTTTAAAGACATGAGTACAACATGTCACCTCAAAAACATTCCAGGGTACCCTCTCTTTCCTTCATTGCCACCAAGGTATTGTTACTGTGGCACTTAAGGTAGTCATTACAAAGCCAGCTCTGAGGCCTCTCATCAAACCTTATATTGTTAAAAAGATGACCAAAAAGTTCATCCATTATCAATCTGACTGCTATGTCAAAAGCAGGTGTAACTGGCACAAGCTAAAACATATTGACAGAAGATTTCACAGAAGATTTAAGGGCCAGATCTCGATGCCCAACATTGGCTATGGGAGCAATAAGAAAAGAAAACACATGCTACCCTCAGGATTTTGGAAATTTCTTGATCATAATGTCAACGAGCTAGATGTGCTAATGATGAGCAACAAGTCATTTTGCTCAGAAATTGCTCTTAATGTTTCATCCAAGAATCGGAAAATAACTGTGAAGAGACCAGCTCAGCTTGCTATCAAAGTTACCAATCCAAATGTCAGAATGTGCAGCAAAATAAAATGAATAGTTTGTCTTGCACAACTATATTTAATAAAGTATAACATTTTGGGGGGAGAGACATTTTTCAGGGTGGCTAGACTGCTTTCAAATGTGACTACACTTTAAAAAACTGTCTGGGAGACAACAAGAGGGGGGGTGATATAACCAGGGCAGGATGGGGTGGGGAATGAAAATGTAATCTTGGACATTGTGGTTTGTCCTGTCAAGGCCACATATGTCTGTATGCCAGTTCCATGTGCTGGTTTATGTTAAGTCCATGCCTAAACACACTATTGACTAGCTTACTATTGATACTGACCTTGTTTTATAGCTAATTTGGGCAATCTGCAGAAACATGGATTCTAACTTTAAGAATCCTTCGAAATCTGGAGGAGACTCAAGTTGCAGAATACCCTTATTATCATTTACCTAATCTCTAATCAAATATAATGCTAAGAAAGCTTTTATATAGGAATATATATGCTACCTACCAAAAGACACTCAGCTACTAAAACATTTAGGCATAAAGCAGCTACTTTGTACCACTGCCTCGAAATACATGTGAAAAGTCTATTCCGTACGCCTTTTGTGCTGAACAGTCATTTATACAGAAAAGCAAATTAATATGAACAACAACATAATGCAGCATTCTGCTTTATTATTGATGTCTTTTAATATCCTGTTGCCTGGTTTGTGTGTTAACTCATGCGTCTTCTTTTTTTTCCTTTTTTTTTTTTTTTTGGCTTTCAACACCACTACTACTGCATCAACATGCCACCTAAATAACTGTAATTAAGCATTCTCTGTACTTGCTGATTACAGTATGCTGATGAAGATTCCCCCTGGATTTTAACAGCCTCTTTCATAACAACTACAATAATCAACTCATATTATAGTCCTTGTGCTTCTAAAAAACCTCCTTAAATAATCTAAAATTTAAATTGTAGCGACTGTTGATTATTACAATCTAAAGTTCAACAGGAGCTTAATCAAAAAGATTTTCAAGTATAACATTGCTGACATCTATTAAACAATATATACTCTGGAAAATAAATATTAAAGCTGTTTATTCTTTTAATAAAATCCTATACCATTCTTCTTTTAATGCCTAAACTTGCTTTCCTTATTTAGGCTGGGAAATGACATTTTAATTTTGCTTTCTTGCAATTAATACTCCATTTTCTAGAGTTGTTAAAATAAAGTTCACCATACTTTCAATAGCATCTTCATTTAACAAAATAATCTAGTGACAATAAACAGCAATTGAAAAAGTGAAAGAGTGGAGAAAAAATCCTTTAATATAAATATTTGAAGTGCATTCAAGTATAAATGTAATTGGGTGGTTTTCAAGAAAGCGAAGTGAGGAGAGGGAGGGAAGAGGGAAAGCCTGAGAATACTACATAATGACTTATACATAATTCGCTATCTGCTGCATGGTGGATATATTACAACAGGCTTTATTTTTAACATTGTTGAAAGAAATGTCCTTCTGGGTTCAGCTCCAAGTGGGGAAGAAGACANCACACACACACACACACACACACACACACACACAGACAATCAATGTGAATCCTGGGCGCTGTGTTGCACTGCAATGGAGAAACGGGAAACAGAGCCGCTGGTTTGAGGGAAGGAGAAGGCCGCTTTCCCTCTTTCTTCTTCCTGCTCCACCTCCTTCCCTTGTGCCTATGATCCCCATCGATAGCAGGGGGGGTTAATTTAACAACTGGTTTACCAGGGGTCAGGTTGGCCATCACGGGAGGCTCATCCTGCATGTGCAGGGGACCTGGAAGATGGTAACGGGCCATGCCTCCCAAGACAGTCAACCTGACTGTCACGTTCTGAGCATGCTCACCACGTTCTGTATTAGGCAGGAAACAGCTAGCAGCTGATTGGCTAGCCATCTGACAGCTCAGTATAAAAGGGAGCTGTCATTCAGGAGCCTCAGCTGTTGCCTGTCTCTGAGCCGGTGCTTTCTGTTAGCTTGTTACTGTTATTGGAATAAACTTGTTAGCCTTTATTCCTGTTTGTGCCTCAGTTATTCTGGCAACACCCACAGTTCTCAGTACAAAACACTGACCCTGGTTGTTAAATTATTTGAATCCCACCACTGCACAGTTCTATGGATCACAGTCTATTGAAATCCCAGAGTATATGTGAAATTAGTAATTGTATAACAGAACAGAATAGAATCCCAATAGACCAATTTTATATATATCATATTTTTTGGAGTATAAGACGCACCTTTTTCCCTCAAAAAAGAGAAAATCTGGGTGTGAATACAGCATGTTTTGCCTCACAAAACCCTGCCTCCTTCACCAAAATGGCTGTGCATAGCTTGTAGGAGGCTTGTAGAGTGCTCCTGGGGGCTGGGGAGGGCAGAAATGAACAAACAACAGGTCAATTTTTGCTCCATTTTGTTCAATTCCCCCCCCCAGCCCCCAGGAGCACTCTATAAGCCTCCTAAAGGCTATCCATGCCCTTTTTTAAAAAAAAATGGGCCTGTTTTTGCGAAAAAATGGACCATTTTTGTTCCCCCTCCCCCGAGCACTTTACAAGCCTCCTAAAGGCTATTCATGCTCTTTTTTTTGAAGAAAAAAAAACAGGCCCATTTGTGCAAAAAACAGGCTGTTTTGGGGATGTTTGCAAAGTGCAAAGACTTTTTTTAAAAAAATTGCCTTTTCAAAACCTTGCTGCATCTTATACTCCAGTGTGTCTACAAGAGAAGGTAAGGAGGAGATAATAAAAGGAGAAGTGGGAGAATTACTTTGGATCAGTAGTTTCCCTGTTTTGCCCGTCGTTCCCAATATGGTTTCTATTGGGTCCTCATATTAAATAGCAATCAATTTAATTTCTAAGCTGTTTTTATAGTTTTTTAAAAAGTTACATTGTCAAAACTTCCAAGATTTTGAAATTCATAAGATAGAGTGGTCTCCTAAGATTTGGGTTTTTATTTTCAGAAAAAGAAAAGAAATGCCTTTCTTCCTATACTATGGGCTACTTGAAATGCCTTTCTGGACCATCAGGATCTCTGGAGCAGAGATGGGGAATCATTGAAATAAAAAAATGAAAATAACAGATATGTTAGTTCTTTATGACTGCTCGGCATAACAAGTTAATAGATAACTATAAATCACATAATATCCAATCCATCTGATGCAGATCATTGACTCAATTTGATCTAAATTCAGAACTCATTTCAAAGGCTAGGGTTGATTCAGCTTGACATATTGATTTGAATCATCACATTACATCAATTTGAAATAGTAAATATGTGAATATGCATGTGTAAAGTCCACTGAATCCTTGACATATTTCAAAGGCATCTGATACCATTCAATATGTTAAATAATGATTGAGGTTTTTTTAAAAAAAAATCATTGAAAGCAGTGATTGGACTGAACTACTTTAAAATTTAAAATTGAAGCTTCACAATTCCTCTCCTCAATTATCTCATTCAGAACCAGAAGGAAAATATCACAACCTAGTACTCAGCATCACCCAGATACAAGTCAGATGGTAAGACTAGGGGCCTTTTCACCCTAGTTAAAATGATAATAAAACATACTAGAGTGAAGAGAAGTGTACATATATTTTGGAACTGTGCTGTGTGTCTTCTAACAGTAATCTGGTATTGCAAGTAAGAATGGGGCAATCCATTTTTTTAATCTTCGACACCTTTATTATATTTTAAAATAGAGTCCATTTTGATTGCTTTCTCATTTTTCTAATCTGCAATTCATTTTGTCCTGACTCTCTTTTCACATTTTTTACAATTTGAGATAATACTTGGCAGGGGGAAAAATAGATAAGTAGCCTTCCCCACCTGCTGTCCTCATTTAACCTCAAGGTCTTTTGCAGCCTGTTTTCATTAAACAGAAAGAAGGATAAACAATGACAAAACCACACATAATACATAGTTACAGAATAACAGAATAATAGAATACAAGAAAAACAAAGTTGGAAGGGACCTTGGAGGACCTTGTACTCCATACTCCTGCTCAAGCAGGAGACCCTATACCCATGATGGCAAACCTATGGCACGTGTTGGGCTTTGAACACCAGCTGGCCAGTGCACATGGTATGGGGCAGTAATGGTTAACCTTTTCAACACCTCATACTGAAACTGGAGCATGCATGCATGTGCTGGAGCATTGGAACCCAGAAGAGAGCAGCGGGCCAGTGCGCATGCATGTGACGGAACCCGGAAGAGAGCAGCTGGCCAGTGCGCATGCGCACCTGCCAACTGTTCTTTTCCGGGTTCTGGTGCTCCAGTGCATGTGCACATGATCCAGTTTCGGCACATGGTGCCGAAATGGTTAATCATCACTGCCCTATAACATTTCAGACAAGCAGAGTAAAATATTTTGTGATATCAGTTTATTTGAGCAGTTTGGGTTTTTGTTTTTTTTAATAAAGCAGGCAGATCAACTGAGGCAGCAACGCTGTTCTCTGAGAAGAGTCATTCCAGTTCAAGAGCCAAAAAGCAAAATTGGTGTCCCAAGATGGCTTCAACTGCCCAATTGCAATATCTGAAGGTGTCCATTCCTCTCTTGATTCAAATTAAATCACAGAGGCAGAAAACTGATCTAATAACAGTCTGTGGGACTTCTACTGTAGATTCATGGCTAACTAACCATCAACTTAATGAGCCATTGGCAAGCACATTGAAGTTACCAAGATACACTAAGCCTACTGAGAGTTACTTTGCACCAGATACGATGCACCTAATGTATCAGATATTTTATCTCTACCTTTAAAGTTTGGAGTGCACTTTCTTTTCTATATTTAGTAAATGGGTTAGATCTTTGTTCCTATTTGGGAGGTCAAAGCAATCTACCAAGCATGGGATTTACACTCTTTATTTCTTTTACAGCTTCAGACATCTGGTCAGGATCCGATTCGTGCCAATCCTGCTGTTTTTGCAAACCTTGGACACAGCCTCCTAAATGAACTATTAGTATATATTTGAAGAAGAACTATCCCGATGACGATGGTTCACCTGAGAGGAAAGCAGTGATGGT